AAACGATAGGAAGCTCAATAACAATAAAAGGAATACAATATTGTAAAAAATGTCAAATTCAAAAATATTGGTGAAATTTTTGAACTATGAGAGGGAATATGAAAATTTTAATGTTGCAGAGGAATTCGTTAGTGATAATGAAAGTCTTGTTTCCATAGTTCTCAAGATCGGATCAAACATGGTAAACATATTGTTCCAGTTAAGTCGAAAGAAATAGTTGTCAATAAACTTGTTAAGAATTTGACAACGACAGTTTAAATCGGTCAGAATCAACTGATCAAACCATTTTATTTTTATAAAATAGTTTTTATGGTATATATAAACAGGATGTGGTTCAAATGAGAACCAAGTTCTAGCGTGAGAACCGTGAGAACCGCTATTTGTAATTGTATGTAGTGCTATGATTGATTGTATTTAGTGCTATTTTTTATCAGGATGTATTTTATTAAAAATAGCAACTTAGCATTTTTAATTGTATGTAGTGCTATGATTGATTGTATTTAGTGCTATTTTTTATCAGGATGTATTTTATTAAAAATAGCAACTTAGCATTTGTAAAAATGATAGCACCATGTAAGATTAAAAATAGCATCATACACAATTAAAAATAGCATCAAATATGGTTCTCACGGTTCTCACACCAGAAGAGGTTTTTATTTGAACCACTCCCTATATAAACATATCTAAATATACTGAAGATACGTAAAATATTATATCAATTTATTTAGGCATTATATGTGTTAAATTACTGAATGAATAATATTTTTATATATTAATTTATTACATACAATATTGAATATATTTTAATTTAAAATAAATTAAATAACATTTAATCAATTAAATCACTGCCAAGAATTGCAATTGTACGTTGATCAGTCCGGCTAGATATTTTGTTCATTTGAGATTTTTTTTTTCAAACGACATATGAAGCTCAATATAACGAAAAATAAGAGTACAGAGGGAAGCCCTCAATCCTGGGTCACTGGGAGGCCAAACCGTAATGGTTGCCTAAACCGGATCTAACAACTTAGACTGAATAAATAATACTACACAAACAATACTGAAAATAAATAGATCAAAACATGAAAAGAAGAGATGTTCCCAAGATCCATATTCACCATTTTCAGCTTAAGCTTCATTCAATACAAGAACATGTAAAGCAAATGTTTTCCTTAAACGGCTAGGTTACAGAAACTTGCATTTATACATGTAAGGCAACATGTGATCACTTTCTCACTTTGTACAACTAACAAATAGAGCCCTAGGATTATCTACACGTGGCACGATCCTGGTGTTCTCTTGCATGCTGCATGGGACCACAGTAGCTGAGGGTCTCTTTCTCCTTTCTCCATTGAACTATGATGTGGAAAGTGAAGTCTGAGGTGGCACAGGTTTGACTTGGTGTTCAACACGCCCCCTCAATTTGAGCGAGCTCAACGAAACCACTTGCATTTTATTTTTTAGACGAGCAAAGGATTGAAGGCTCAAAGGCTTTGTCATAATATCAGCAATTTGATCATAAAAGGGCACATGGTTCACTGCAATGGTCTTGGCTTCAATCTTGTCCCTTACAAAATGAATGTCCAATCCAATATGTTTGGTTCTAGCATGAAGGATAGGATTGGTGGCTAGATAAATAGTGCTAAGGTTATCTACCCAGATAGTAGGAATAGAAGAACCTTTGATATTCAACTCATTCATCAAAGACTGAAGCCAGGTAATCTCAGCAACATTGTGTGCAAGGCTCCTGTACTCAAATTCTGTGCTTGACCTTGATATAGAGTTTTGCTTTTTAGCTGACCAAGATATTAAGTTTCCACAAGGAAAAACACAAGATCCTGACATGGACCTTCTATCATCACAGTCTCCTGCCTAGTTAGAGTCTGAAAAACCAGTTAAGTTAATGTGTTTTGGCTTAATGAAATGCAGTCCATGGTCAATTGTTCCACCTAAATACCTTAATATTCTCTTAACTGCCTTCCAGTGAGGCATCAAAGGATTAGACATGAACTGACTTACCTTGTTGAATGAAAAACTGATTTCTGGCCTTGTAATAGTGGCATATTGCAAGGCTCCAACAACCCTTCTATAGAGGGTACCATCTACCCCTGATTCTCCATTGAACTTTGATAAGTGAAGAGAGGAAACCATGGGAGTAGGACAGCCTTTGGCATCTGACATATTCACTTTCTTTAGCATCTACCTTATATAATTAGACTGACTCAAGTGCAGCCCTTGTGAGGTTTTCTCAAACTCAATTCCCAAAAAAGTGTTGAACTTCTCCCAAGACCTTTAGAGAGAAAACCTCCTTCAGTTTACTAATTACCCTTTGTGTGATAAGGGGACTGCTTCCAGTTATCAGGATGTCATCAACATAAATTAGTAGATAGGTGACCTTACCTTTTTTAGTCAGGATAAACAGTGAGGTATTAGCTCTGGAGTTTTTGAAGTTGAGGCTCATCAATACTGATTTTATCTTAGTAAACCAGATCCTTGATGCTGGCTTCAAACCATAGAGGGCCTTTGAGAGTTTGCATACCAGATGATCTCCTTCCCTTTCAAAACCAAAAGGCTGCCTCATGTAGATATCCTCTTCAAGTTCACCATTTAGGAATACATTATTAACATCAATGTGGACAATGGGCCATGAGTGGAAGGTGGCTACAGTCATAATCACCCTTATGGTTGTAAGTTTGACCACTGGACTGCAAGTATCTGAAAAATCAAACCCAGGTGCTTGAGAGAACCTTTGAGCAACAAGCCTTGCTTTGTACCTGGAGACTGTGCCATCTGAGTTCCTTTTAACCTTGAAAACCCATTTCTTGCCCACTAGGTTCTTTCCCTCTGGTAGAGTGGTTAATTTCCATGTTCCATTTCTGATAAGAGCTTTAAACTCATCTTCCATAGCCTTTCTCCATCTGTCACTTTGCAAGACTACTTCTGGACCATTTGGTTCTTGGTCTTGCATCTCAACATTACACAATTTGAGTTTGTAGATACCAACCTTAGCCCTTGTTATCATTGGATGAAGGTTCTTGGAGTGCTGAGGTTGTTGTTGCTGAGATGATGCTTCTTGGCCTTTTGAGATGGGAAGATCCACAAATAAAGGGATTGTAGAGTTACCAGAACTCCTTCCATGTGAACCTTGCTCAGACTGGTCAGATCTATTATGCACTGGAGTGGTTTCATGTTCAATGGTTTGTTGAACATCAGGTTGTTCTTCTGCATTTGTGTTGGTATTAAGACTCCTTTGAAAGAGTTTCTCTAAGGCAGGCAGAGTCACTGGACCACTTGATTGATGTGTGTCTTTTTTCTGGTTTTCTTTTTCTTTATAAGGGAATACATTCTCATAAAAAACAACATGTCTTGAGATCATTACCTTCCCTGATGGCAGTAGAACCTTGTAACCTTTGTAGTTAGGACTGTATCCAAGAAAGACACTTGGTTGTGACCTAAACTCCAATTTGTGCTTATTGACAGGTGTTTATTGTGTTTTTGTGCTTATTTTCATGTGTTTTATGTGCTTTAGTTTCGTGTTTTTAGGTTCGTTTTAGTGTCGACCGGTCCATTTTGTCGTGTTTCGTGCATTTTTGCTCTCGTTTTGTGTTTTTCTGGTTCGGCGTACTTTTCTTGTCTTTTTGGTGTTGACTAGGTCCATATTGTTCGTGTTTGGGAAGACGAGCCATTTCCGAGACATTTCCGAGCCGTCCGAACCATGTCCAAGCCATGCGAAACCATTTCTGAGCATATTTATTAATTGTGTGGTGACATCTATTTGCACATCTCAAGACGAGGAGAAAAAGATTTGAGGAGCGTGGGTCAAAGTTTCAAGTAAATCGGATAAGCGTGCGAGAAATTAGAGCAAATCGAGTCACCCGAGTCGACCGGTCCGACCCGATCGAGCCGTCTAAGCCGGCCGACCCGACCCGTCCGACCCGACCAACCCGACCGAGCCAACCGAGCCGTCCCGGGCCGCCCCGCGCCTTGCCAGCGCCCGCGCCCTGCGGACCAGCCCGCGACCTCGCGAGTGCGCCCAGTGCCCTGCCAACTCGCGACCTGGCGGAAATTTTGGTGAGCTCGAGAGTGTTTGTGTCATTTTTGACTAAATGTGTGTGTTTTTAGTGTGTGTTTGTGGTGTAGCTATATAAAGACATTGTGCTTTGTAATTTTGACAACAACCCTCATTTCCCAACTTTTAAGTTGGGAAATACTCTCAATTTTCTCTCTTCTCTCTCCTCTTTTCTTTTTCTTTTTTTTATGCTTTGGTTGGGAGGTCCATGACTCTATTTTTCCGGCAAAATTCCGGCAAGTTTATTTTCATCCAAGTTTCGAGCTTTATTCACTATTTTCGTCCGGGCACGCGATAGGAGAGTAGGTACCTTGCTTAGGACTTACTACTTCGAGTTTGTTTCCTTCGATTTTGTGTTTATGCTCGTTTCTAGGTTTTTGCTTTATTTTTATTGCTTGCTTTTGTGTGTTAGGAATCAATACGTGCTTATCTAGTATAAAGGTCTCGACTTTGTTCAAAGCGTGATGATTTAGTGTAGAAAGCTCGCAATAGATTACCTAGGATCACTAT